CAGCAGTTTTTGCTGTGCAAGAATGTTTTGTTTTCAAAATTAACCACCCACCCCTCCCCCTCCCTCAAAAAAATAATGGTCCGTCTCTCATCAAGGCTTGCTTAATAGTGTCAATCATTATGAGTTCATTGTTATCCTACGTCAGTTTTGCACACGTCATCCCGTCATTTCGTCAAGGTTACTTTTCATTAGCGTGTAAGGATAAGCAATATACAAAGACTTATTAAGTTGCTGCTAATTAAGTAACACCTGTTTGTGAGGATATTTTCCTTACAAAAAGCGCTACTAATCTACTGTCATAGTTTATTTGTTCATGTAGATAATTTTAATTTTATGTATAGTTTTTTTTCCTTGATACTTTTAATTTTCCTCGAAGATATAAGGTATGTGTAGCTACGTTAAATTCGAGAATAAATAGAGTTAATATCTTTAAATATGTATGTATGCTTATGCACTAATGGAAACCTGCCTTGAAAGGTCTCAGAAGTGCTTGAAGTGTTTCATAGATATAACACAAAACACCTACTGCAAATTAAAATCCTCCTCCGCCTCCACTGTATACACTCAAGAATATTGTTTTTCGGGCCGAGGCTGAATATTCTTATTTTTCTGCCTATTTTAGGCTGAAAATATTCTTGTGAACATTCTTAGGTTATGGCATATGCATGTCGGTTTTCGACTGTACGTATTTGGTGTCTGGATAGATTAAAGTAATTTTGGAGCAGTAGGCATTAAAGCCTGGTATAACGCAAATAACTTCTTGGTATCCGACATACGGCTAGTGCTCTTTTGTTGCTTTTTGGCTAGTTTTGCCGTTTAGAGAATGGAAGAATTTTATACGTTTAGTTAATTTAAAAACATATAATTATATTGCGTGTACAAATTTTCAACGCACAGAATTATATCCTTTCAAAATCTTAGTCTCGGGTTTATCCTTACAATACTATTAAAATTTGGCAAATTTCAGTCTCGATATTCTTATAAAATACATTCTTATAAAAAAATGTGTATTACGCTTTCAAGCTCAACTTTTTCCCAATGTGGTCTTAACAGCTCGTCTAATTTCTCCAATTCTTAAGCAATACACAACTGGATTTAAGAAGGAGTTGATAAAAATAGCAGTTGCTGCATAGTCATAAGCGATTTTTACTGCCAAAGTGTATCCAAAGAATGAATCCACAAGCATTGTCGCACACAAAGGAAGATAGAATAACAGGATCAAACCATAAATATAAAGAATAGTCACAGCAGACCGCCTACATTTGAGCACGTTTATCGTGTTGTTTTGAACATTTTGTTGTTGTTGAGTTATCTGACGCTGATGTCTACGCACAATGTGAAATATCTTCAGAGTGCTCAGGGCTGTAACAAGCAAAGTGAAAAGTAACATTACCGTCGGAAAAATGACCCAGTTTTTGAAGAAAAACCTTGACATAACTCCCGTTATAGAAAAGATCCAGAGAAAAACAGCGGTTCGATGTACGCGAGGAACAGTGACAATGGTCGTGTAGCGTAAATGAAGTGTTAAAGCGAGAAGTCGATCAACCGACACCACGCTTAAAATTAGCAAAGATACGCCTGATGTAGTCCAGCCAGATATTGTCTGAATCATCCTCAAAACACAATACAGACTAAAGTCATTTCCAAGTTCGGCTAGCTTATACGCCACGTAAAATGGCTGACAAATCAGTCCAACGAGGAGATCCGAAACAGCCAGGTAAAACAGAAGGATGAACGAAGGCGAATGAAGTTCTTGCGTTTTCCAGATTGCTTGTAGAATAACAGAATTTCCCAAACAGGTTATCATGCAAAACACTGCATTGAGAATACAAGTTAGAATATTAGCTGTTTGTGTTGCTTCTGTTTTGTCCAAGTTTATGTCCAAAAAGGAACATGTCCGCAGCTGGGAGTTGTTATTCATCTTGCGGTAACTATGTGTCCACTGTTAACATCCCAAAGAGGTTCAAGCCAATGTCATAAGTGATTGTCAATCTCTAAGTACAATTTGCAGGTACGTAAATGTGTCAAGGAAAGCTTTTCAAGGACTTGAAGATTATCCTGTTTTGTATGTTGATCACAAAACTTAATTGCGACTGCTTCCTTCAATAGGCTAAAATTAAAATGTGTCAAACTGAAGTGAAAGTGAATTCCAATTTCATATGCCCGCTAATTTGAGGGTATTGTTCAGGTTTCTTAACAAAATTTGTAATTATAATTACATTGAGCACCCTACTAAAACTGAGGTAATATCAGTATATATCATATTCACTATAAGCTATTTCAGTTTCTAAAAGCACGGCTACTTCAGTCTCTAAAAACAGGGTTTCTTTTTCTGATTTTGCTAGATTTCAGCAGCAACAATTAAGGTAAGCTTATGAAGTCGTCTTGTGGCAACTACGCGAAATTTATTTAGTGTTAGTTTCGAAACTCTACTTTTGAAATTTTATTCTCGCGATATATTCACTTACATTGAAGGCGGAAGATCATATTACTTCTTCGTATTTTGCTCAACGAAATATTGGTTCAGTTTGATGGAAATTGAGTTTATTTGCGATATTATAGAAGGGTTGCTCTGAGACCTTCAGTTGCCGTAACTTTCGGGCGGCGCCTTGGACGTTTTAACGCTACTTAAGCGACAAAGCAAACATTGCGACTTAGGCAACTTAAGGCGACTTTAGTTGACTTAAGCGAGCTAAGGAGATGTTATTGCACTTCAGTGCTATAAACCTAAACTTAGTAACCGTCGTTTCGTATATTTTAAAAACTTCACAAAATTTAAGCCGATACTGTAATTATTATTTTCTCTAATTTTGGGTTCGCACAAGTCACCATAGTTTTAAGCATCCAGATTTCAAACCATATTAGATAAAAAAAAAAATTATAGAAAGCTAGACTTTCAGTACCAGTTTTTGTTATAATGATAATGATAACGATAAATTCCAGCAAGGTATCATGAATGTTAGTGACGATATCACAATAGAAACCAGCATCAAACAGAACTATCAAAAATATATTCATAGTGACCAAAATTTTAAATTTTTAAGTGGTGCTGTGATCTAATTTTTACCCCTTATAGTTTTAGTTTTATCACGTAGAATTCCACGAAAGGTAAAAACGCCGTCTACCGTTTGCAAATATCTGCATTGGTTCCAGAGATATTTCAGTTTCAAAAATGTGTAAAAAATGCAAATGAGAAGAATGATGACGTCATACACTCAACCAAATATCGCATCAAGTATATACTCTAAATAGAACTATCTCGGTCAATTTACAGCAGAAACCATTGAAAATTGATAAGCTTTTAGTTCTACATATAACACACCTACGGCTATAAAAATTTCAGTTCCCATGAAAACCAACCAAGTCTTTTCCAATACCCTACAACCTGATTTCATTAGTTTAGTGATTTTCAGCTCGAAAAACATAAAACATGGCCATGAACTCGACTTAACATATTTATATGCTTGTTGGATCACGCAGATCAGACACCATTGGCAAATATCAATATAGAACGCCAAAGGTGGCCAGAAAAGCCTTTGATATCCGGGAGGTCTGGAACCCAGTATTTTGCCACGGTAACAAAAATGTGAGGATCATATTGTGGAGCACCCTCTAGTAGAATCGGACTGCCAAGAATCGAACATTTCAAATTGGCTGAGATATCTTTGTTCATCATATTTGATCAGAATTCGGTTGAGTTTATGACGTCATCACTTAGCTAATTTGCGTATTTTAAAAACTTGAATATCTCTGGAATGAAAAGAGATATTTGAAAATAGTAAACAGCATTTTTCTTCTCGCACAGACTACCTTTCTATGTCTTTAAATGGCTTAGATAGGAAAGATGCCATGATTTAGCTTGATTTAAACAAAACTATTGATATGTTTTCCATAATTCAAACAACAAGGAAATAATTAATTAAAATTAGGCAAGCTTATTTAGATGCTTTATAAGCTTTATTTCACAAAGCTTTTAGGCCATTGAGGCTAATTCGGGGCTAAGCAGAGTGCTATATAATCTAACCGAAGTGCTGCTGCTCTGCCGAAATAGTAGAGATTATCCTCGGCGTCGTCATTGTTATTACTCAGAGGCCTTTATGTTTAGTCTCTGGTCTCCTGCTCCCTCAGTCACTCCCTTCCCCATCCCTACACCACCCCCGACGATAATTTAAACTCCGATGAGTTGATATATGCCGCTGTCCAATCATTGATGACTCGGTGGGTATTTGACTTGAGCTAGGACTTGATTCGGACCCGGTTTGGCCTCGGAGGGGTTAGGTAAAGTCTGCATACGAGTCAAGTGGCTCATCAGGCTGGACTTTATCCCGGTTTCAGTAGCATGAAGAGACTAGGAATATTTCTACTTTCCCTGGATGGGATGCTAGTCCATCGCAGACATACAATTCGCCGGTACTCATTTATACACCTGGGTGCAGAGAGGTACCGTGAGAGCAAAGTGTCTTGCCCAAGAACACAACACAAGGTCCCCAGCTAAGGCTCACACTCGGACCGCTCGCTCCGGAATTGAACGCACTAACCATGAGGCCACCTCGCCTCCCGGAAAACCGAGCCATTTCTAACTAAAACTAAAACGTTCGCTAGATCGCTGGGTCCTCTCTGGACTCCACTTAAAGCTATGTTAATAGTGAAAGGAAAAGGCGTATTGTACCCTTCTTACCAATTTTCGACGTACTAGCACCTGGGCTCTGAAATTCGTGCAAGTTTGCACGAAAAAGAATGCATCCTAATCACACCCGCCGCATGAGCAAGCGATGTGATTGGCCCGCGGTCTTCAGCAACAATAAAACCACATGTTCTACAGGACTAAAACAAAACGCTTTCTGCTTGTGCCAAATCGAGAAAATAAATAATTCAACTCCTTAAACCACAGTCATGTAGCTATTATCAATTGCATTAAAGAATACAAAGCAAATGAACCTTTTGAAAGCCGGAAAGTATGAGGGTTCGAGTGTTACTAGCGGTGTTCTGTTGCTTTCTTTCTTGTGGAATTTCGAAAGATTCGGAAAAGAAAGCGACAAAATTTACCAAGCCATGCTTTAACGAAGATGAACTTCTAAACTATTGCACGGATCCTATGGAAGCGTGTCACGAGGAACAAGGACATGAAATACAACTGCTGCGGCTAGATGGAGTTGAGGTAAGTTATAACTAATTGTGTTTGTCAAATAAGTCCTCGACTTGTTACACGGCAAGGGGAACAGCTGAGTTCAATGTTTTTAAAAAAAACATCAACACGGCATATCCCGGTTGTATAACTTATGTTTATGGCTAGGTTTAAAAACAATTTGGATAAATATCCTTGCAGGTCCCATTCTTCGAATTGCTCTGTACTTTGTATCAACGAGTAAACGATTCGTTTTGCCTTCGCGGGATTGCCCGGTAAATATTGTTTTTGAAGACTACATCAGGGTTATTTTATATACAAGAAACTCAAAACCTCATTAAAGGGCGTTTGAACCTATTTATTCTCCGCGCATGACGATAACTACCAGATTGATTTTAGTCGAATTATGTTTGAAGCAAGACCAAACGGTGAAGAGAGAGGTAGAGCATATCGCATCACTTTTATTCGACATTGAATTTAGTCCACAGAAAGCGTACATTGTGTTTCTTTACTCTAAGATATGATATAGAAAATGACCACTTTCAAATATCAATAACACACATGTTATTGTACTCTTGAAAAGCGTCAGACCACGCTTTCCTAATTCCACTGCACGTGGGATGTTTAATGTTTAAGTGATAAATGTTATATGCGTTTATATATTTTTCCGTATACGGTAACCTAACCTAAATTTGGAGTACTTGCGAATACACGCTCGGCAACCTCCAATATTACGACCTTGAAAGAATGGACGTCACTTAATGTAAATTTTGGGGTAACTTCATTCTTTTTCGTTTCTGTCAGCCAGGTACCGGTACAAATTCAATTAGCTCCCTGTGCAAACTAAGCTTGAAATATAGATTCTCCTTAACTGCAGACATAATTATTCGAGGTTATTTGCCAATGACAGAGCCGGTACAGAATTCTTTAGCTAATTTTTTCGTTTATTCTCTTTATTATTGTTATCTTTCTGCTTGACCGTGTATTGCTATTGTGACAACAATATAGATGTTGATCAAAGTTAGGTTGAAGAGACTTACACGGAATAGTTACGTCTCACTGCAAATTTTGGACTATCTGTTGCTAAGAGACTATGATGATAGTCTCTTGCTGATCCTGGCTGATTGATTGACTGACTGACTGACTGACTGACTGACTGACTGACTGACTGACTGACTGACCGAATGACTGACTCACCGGTTGGTTGGCTGGCTTATTTGCTAGCTGGCTGATTTTACTGGCTCACTCACTGACGGAGTCGCACTAGAGCTAATTTTGTTTGTATAAGTAATAAATCTGTCAACAATTAGCGTAAAATAAGTGCGACCCCCAGTTTCAAACCCTTGCCAAATTTTTGCAGATTGCCAAAATTTCGCCAATCTTCAAAGAAGCCAAAGTGCTGCCTCGGAGGCTTCCGAATTTTGGCAAACAATTTTTGTCTTTTTAACCATTAAACTGTCTTATTTTTTAAAACATGTCTCGATAAAATTACGGAGAGAAAATAACTTTGGGCGCCTAGTCCAGTTTGGCGCGTGCAATTGCGGGACAAAATCATTTTTTACTCGGTCCAGCTGACGCTTTTTGCAGTTTTTTCAATGGAAACGAGGAATGTGAGCAGCGTTTTTATTCAAATTCTTATGACTCATACCTTGGATCTGGTTACTGGCAGCAGTTTGAAGAGATGGCTTCAGCGAGACAATCTTCCTCAATCGCAAGTGGCGCAAGCAACAAACGCAAGCCGAGCAAAAACTGCTCGTCTAATTATGGGCCGAAAATCGCGAGTTGCTGGAGAGCGGAGAGTCAAGAACATGCCACGTGGACAAAAATATGCGAAGAGATAAACTTTCGAATGAAATCTATCATACAGGTCTTGTGACGTATATTTCAATCAGTAGCGTTTTGGTTCAAACATATTGGTCTGATGCGACCAATGCCAAAATTTGGAACTTGCGAAATTTTTGCCAATTTTTTTCCTCTTCCAAAATTGGAAATATTTAACGCTCTAGTACGACTCTAATGCCCGACTCAGTGTCTGTCTGACTGACTGACTGCTGACGGACGGACAGGCTGACTGACCGACTGACTGATTGACTGGTTGACTGACTAACTGACTAACTAACTGACTCACTCACTCACTTACTGGCTGACTGACCGCTGGCTGGCTGGCTGACAGACAGACTGACTGACCGACTGACTGACTGACTGACTGACGGACTGACAGACGGACAGAAAAACAGACAGACAGACAGACTGACTGACTGATTGACTGACTTACTGACTCACTGACTCACTGACTCACTCACTGACTTACTGGGTGATTGAATGTCAACTGACTGACGAAGTGTTTTCTTTCTCTTGTTTTTGTTTTTTTTTACATCGTAACTGCCTTAACCGATTGACTTGTCCTGACTCATTTGTAGAAAGGTCACGTTAGATGGGTGGAACGGGAGAAAGGAAAAAAATATCAGATGATAACTAGAGCCATGAAGCCTCTTCTATTTGGTAAGATAAATATTTTTACTAAAAAAACCTTCACGTACATTTGAAGTAATCAAACGTTGTTTGTGGCGAATTGCTATTGTATTGGAGAGTAAATCATAAACTCTTCTATTACGTTACATAGACGTTTTTTCAATAAGGAAAGATACTCGGCTGAAACTATGTCTGTCTGTCTGTCTGTCTGTCTGTCTGCCTGTCCGTCTGCCTGTTTTGTTCGTTTCATAAAAAAAAAAATACTGTTCCAATATTCTGGGGCGCGTTCCAATCGACCAAAAAATCCGGTTTGAATTACCGAAACTTTCCTATGCCGAATGGAACGGTATTTTCCACCAGGTCGGTACCAGGCCCAGGGACCGGACTGATCTCGCTCTATTCCTGCTTGGGAGCATTTCCCGCCAATATTTACACGACAAAATGCTGAAGAATAATGATGAAGTGGCTGTCGTAAGTGCAGTAAGCTGCTTGATGCGATGAAATTTAACACGCATTCACGACTATTTTAAGTAAACTCTTCCGAGATATTTACCTGACCGACTCAAGAATTATTTTCGTGAGATAATAAACTTGCGAACTTTTCTTGCGGAAGATTATGCAAACCGAGCAAATGCCCACAGGAAATTCGAACGACCAGTCCACAAATTTTCCAGGAAAGCAGATCCTAAGGTTTTTGTGGAGGACAGGCAATCAACAAAAGGCTCGAACTGTGGCAGATCGTTTTGCATCCAGTGTAGTATCGACTCGCCGCCATCTTGTAGCTTTCAGGCCTGACTAGAGGAACTGGGACTGATTCATACCGGGTAGAAATGTCAAATGGAACAGAAAATTTCCGGAATTTCCAAATTTCCGGAAAAAAGGACAACCTCAAGAGGTTGACCGAAATTTTCGAAACGAGTTTCCGGAAATTTTCTGTTCCATTGGACTTTAAACCAGAATTTTCGGAAATTTTGGTCGAATGGAACGCGCCCCTAATATTAGTAAAAAACACTTCACCTTCATATCTTCATGTTACGGGGACACGAACAAGTGAGCCAGAGGAACAAGAAGTGTCCCATTAAGCCCAAAACTAATTCGTCATTTACCTTTGTCCTCAAATCGTCTTGACTTCTTTCCCCAAACAGAAATTCCAGATTTCCTGTCGGATGAGGAGTGTGAGCACATCATCT